TGGCACTCTAACCATACAACATAATGAAAAAAAGTGCTAGTTGTTCATACAGTCTCTCTCTCCTCCAGAATGTGGACAACTTGATAGAAAAGCTGTTTTATTTCAGTTATCCTCCATGCCTGATACAGATCTGCACAGAAGGGACTCAATAAATACCAATTAAACAGATAAATGAATAAAACACATTAAGCCACAAGAGTCAGAAAATAAATTTAATAACTGACCTTATGTGACATGTACAAGCTGTAGCCAGGGCTAATTCCAAGCTCACCTGTTAGAACCTCTATCATCTCAGCCCCACTCTCAGTACTATATCATAAATGCTATCAGCAGTTTCTAGAAGCCACAGAGCCTCATGCAAAAATTCCATAAAGCCCATATTTAATGCAACAGCAAGTCCAACTCAAGGAAATTCTTAAATTTGAACGACTTAAGGGCAGAAGGCCTCAGCCACGTTTCTCTAAGTCTCTAAGAATGTAGTAAAATATACGATCTGTACTTTCCCATTTAGACATTTGCAGTCCCTCTGAAGGACAAAAATATCATTTTACTTATGATCTTAATCTCATTTTTTCCCTATCAACAACCAAGCACAGGTTCCATCACTAACTGAAAAAAGGACATCTATCTATCTATAGATAACTGAAACAATTCTTGGTGATACAAACTCCAAGAATAATTTTAAATATTTTGAACGGTCAAGGTGCCAACGATATTAATTTCATGTAAGCATGAGTACACTGAAATCTGAAATTATTTTTAAGCTCTGTAGCCAGCTAAAATAAGTTCCTACCAATATTATGGCAAGGGATTTTTATAACACAACCTTACCTTTCTCTAGAGTTTCTTGTAGAGCTTTCTTCCACAGTTGAACAGATTTTTCATATGATCCTAATAGAAAATATTCTTCACCTAAAAAGTTTTTAACTGTTAGTTATAGTTAATTATATAACGTTATAAAAATTTACTTTGTTCTCAAGTACATACTTCTCAGTCAGAAATTATTTTGAAAAACAATTAATTACAATTTAATAAAATCAAAGTTCAGCTAACTATAGTGTTGGTTCATGGAGTTAGAAATTATTTATAAAATACTGACCATTTATAGATTTAAGTTCTAAGGTTTGGTTCAAGTGATCTCCAGCAGCCTGTAAGTTGGCCTGTATATGACACAGCAGGGACTTGACAGTAGATGCTTCATGTGCCATCTTTTCAGTTAACTGTCTGTCACCTTTAGGAGCTCTTCGACTTAACTGTGCTTGATAACATAACGTTTTTTTGTACAATACTCTCCAGAGAGCAATCAATCTGCACACAAAATTATGTCATCATCAAAAACAAATTTCAGACTAAGGGCAAGATTGAGAATAGCCCCCTTCTTAGTATTTTTTTTCCCTGCGTCTTCACTGACATAATAACATACACACAAACTGATCTGTGTTATATATAAGGTAAAGTCCAGTGATTAAAAAAATGTACAACATGTATTTAAAAATTCTTCATAAATGTTTTATGTACCTGTGTTCATCTTCCTACAGTAAGTGTAAACCAAAATATTAACAATATCATGGTTGCCCAATACTAAAATTATGTGTTGCATATAAATAAGCAAACAATATTTTAATTTATCAAGTTAGTATAAAATATGTTTATATGCTATAAAATCTATAATGCTGAGTACTAATGGATACAGGGTTTCCTTTGAGGCAATGAAAATATTCTAGAATTAGACAATGGTAATGGTGACAGCACTACCTTGTAAATGTACTAAAAAGCATTTGGAAATGGTGAATTTTATGGTATCTTAATTATATCTCAATTTTTAAAAATTAAAGATATTATGTTTATGATATCATAATATTTAAGAAAGTAATGATACCTGTGGCCTGGCTGTTGAACAAGATTTACATCTTGAGGACACATCTTCAAAGATGAACTCCAAGACCATTTTGCCTGAGAACCATAGCTTTGAAACATTTGAAAAATAGGTACCACCAATGAGTCTTGAGCTGCTGTTCTACTTCCATCAGTTGATGTAGAAATTATTTCAGGCTGAAGATTATATATGCCATTTAAATTAGAAGCCACCATTTTAAGTAAATAAAAACAGGCTAAAAGCTTCTCTGAGAATAACTGCTCCTTATGTTGTTGAATCAGCAAAAGTTTTATAGTATATGAGGTTAGCTTTACCAAATGTCCCAAATCTTGCTTGTATCTCATGTCCCAATACTGGATTGATAAACACTGATTAAAAAGTTGAAAGATACAAAGCAACCATGCATTATTTCTTGGACTCTTATCTAAAGAAATACCAAGTTTAGGGAAAGGACATTTTACAAACTGAAGAATGTAAAAAAAATGAGTGATACAAACTACTGTGTAATTTAACATTATATTTTTTTCCATCACATTTTTTGAAATTCCTATATTCCATGCTGCTAGGAGATTTCTCTGGATAGAATGCAGTTCTGTAATGGTTCTGTCTGTCTCTTCAGTGTCATCCTTTGCATGTATCGTATCAAACATAGATGCAAATTCCAATCTTCCCTGTTTAACATTACTAAATATTGGATCATTTTTTTGGTTCCAGAAAGGGAGTAAATTGTTTGGAAAGTGTTTGCCTTCATTAGTTTCTTCTGCTTCAATATCCTAAAATATGAGGGAAAAATTATATTTAATAAATGTAGCATCTTATAATAGAATTTGATGTTTTCACATTTTCTTCCCTTTAACAAGAGATAAACAAAATCTGTTTCTTGGAATAAAACTAATACATAATTGTGGTTCAAAGTAAACATAGCATTGCTACTATATACTTGCAAATCTCCTGTTCTGTCAGTTAACTCCAGTGTTTCTTCTGCCTGCAAGAATTTGGGGACTCCTGAATCAGCTGAATTTTCATTTTCTTGGTGTTTTAACAGACTAGACCTGAGGGAATCCAGTGATCGCAAGTTCAGCCCTTTGCCTTTGGGCTGTAGGAGAGAAGGCAAAAGATTTCCAAGGTTAAAATTTTATTAATAATTTTATGACAAGAAATTAAAAATCTTATAAGCAACTGTGTACCATCCAAGGACTTTATTATCAGTATAGTTTTATTTTTAAAAGGATAAGATGCCAACTTTTAAAAGTTATTTCTCAATGATACCAAAAAAGTACCATACCTTAGATAATACTACACTCTGGTATGTTTTCTCAAGCCGCTGGGTTGAATCAAGTAGAAGTGATCTCATGAGCACTGATGGAGACAGGTTATCAAGAAATCGCAGGGTTGTGATCATATATCCATCAGAAATAATGAGGTACGGTAAACGGGAGTGTGCTCTGACCGAAAACCTCTGTCTCATAGGATCACTATCAGAAGCTGATGAATCTACAGAATCATTTGAATCTTGAAATGTAAACTTTTGTGGTCTAGCAAAGAAATACCGAAATTCAATAATCAGTAAGAGAAAAAAAAACCTTAAACATCTTATTATTCCAAAGATAATTAAGAAGTAAAATAACATTAAAAGTATCAGAATAATGACAAAGCAAGCAAATGAAAGAAAAAGAAAAGCAGTTTGTTTTCTTTTTTGTTTTTTGGGGTGTTTTGTTTTGTGTTTTTTTTCCAGTTTTTTCCATCAAGTCAACTTCAACTCATGGTGACCCCAAGAATGTCGAAGCAGAACTGTATAGTCCCCAGGGTTTTTAGTGACCGACTTTCTCAGAAATAGGTCACTAGGACTTTCTTCCAAGGACTCAACCCTCCAACCTTTCAGTTAGCAGCTGAATACATTAAACATTTGCACTACCCAGAGACTCCTAAATCTCGGTGAGGAAAACATAATATAACTGATTAAAGCATTCATAGCTTTATGTGGGCTCTTTAATTATTTTCCTGAATTATGGCATTTACTCTACTGTCTTTAATTTATATATAAAATATTCCAGAAAAGAATAATTTACCCAAAATCACATAGCTAATAAACAGAAGAACTAAGATTTGAATCTTGATCTGCCTGATTTCAAAGCCAAACGGCTATTCTATCTCATAACTAAGTTAAAATGTGGCTAAATTCTAGTCATCTATCCATTTTTAACAATTTTTCCTCTTCAGGAAAAAAGTAGATAAATCCATGTGCTGAACTAAGTTTGAGATTAATTTATCTAAGTGTTATTGTTTTACAACAATAAATGCCATATATTTTTATTATGAGTCAGAATCAACTAGACAGCAACAGGCATTTTTTAAATTAAGCTTTGTACCAAAGTAGGTAAATTTTCTAGTGCTACTGATTTAATTAATTTATACTTACAGTCACAATGTCAAATTTTCAGCAGGATTAAGCCACAAAAAGAAATAGAAGAGAACTATAAATAAGAAACAGATAATGAGATGACAGACTCAAAGTAAGAATAACTTGAAAGAGGAAATTATAAAAAAAAAAAAAAGCACAGTGAAAGTAATATCAAAAAAGAAAAGTTCTACAAACAAATTAAAACAATTCAAATTCAAATGTCTCACCTATAAGTTATTAGTGGATGAAGAGGAATAAATTCTGCTGGCCCAAATTCTATAGAGCAACCAAATGTAATTAATGTTACCAATTCGCCCTGGCATGTCAATAAAACCAGGGAGCCACGTTTTAACATGCAAGTCAGAAAAAGATTATCATGCGTCCAGCTGATATCACCTACCCAATAGGATCTAGAAAAAGCAAGAAACAACATGTCAATAAATGACTCTCTACCATTCCTTGACAATTTATAATGGGCTGTACCAAGCAAGGATGAGACTTTTTTTTTTTTTAATTTTTATGTGATTTGGGTGGGTGAAAGTTTACATAGCAATTCATTCACATTTTGTTGCATGACATTGACTGCAATTCCCCACAATGTAACAACTCCCTTCCCACTTCCTCCTCGTAGTTAGTTACCTCTTCCCTGTGTGCTTCTTTCCTAAGCATTCCTGCACTCTAAACTTACCTCCCTGTGCAAATATTGCCTTTCTTTTCTCCAATGATTGATAGTACTAAGGAGTGTATCTATCTGATGTAGATGTTCACCCCATATGCCTGTCCATTGTTTGGCTGGAAGCCACAGGAGTGAGTTCAGTTTGAGACCTGAAGGGTAATTTGGGGCCCTAGTCTCGGGGGTCTTACCAGCCTCTAGCAGAGTAGTAAAGCTGGTCTTTTTTATGATTTTGAGTTTTGTTCCACATTGTTCCCCTATTCTAAAATATAAGACTTAAAAAAAAAAAAAAATGGGTATTAGGCAATCACAACAGCTATTTCATGAATTTTACTTCTTAATAGAAAGGTCTGACTTGACGGCATATAACAATAACAACAACACAATAGAAAGGTAAGAAAAAGACGTTTGTTCTACTCCACACAATACACCAATTTGAAATTTACCTGGATTCAAAATCAACTCATAAAATGAAAATTCTCCTTAAAAGAGTGTAGCTTTTTAGGCACTCATATTTTAATTAAAACAAATTTTACTCCAACTGGAGTCCACAATCTAGACCTATTGATAGGCGTCAAGTCCAATGCTACAGCTTGCTAGGGTTTTACCCTCTGCCCAAGCTGCCACTGTTACTATTCCCTATTGTTGTTGTTGTTATGTGCCGTCAAGTTGGCCCCGACTCATAGCGACCCCTCCTTGGGTTTCCGAGGCAGTATCACTGCGGAAGTAGATTGCCCCATCTTCCTTCCGAGGAGCGGCTGATGGGTTTGAACTGCCAGCCTTCTGGTTAGCAGTCAAGTGCCTTAGGCACTATGCTACCAGAGCTCCCTACTATTCCCTAACTATCTGCTAATCCTAATGTTTCATGAAAACAAAAAAATACCTCCTTCTCATGAAAATGATGGATACCCTAATTCAAGCAGACCACTACACCAAGAAGTTTTGAAAAGGGATTTTTGAGGACATAAAGAAAACAAAGAAGCAAGGTTGGATAAACCTTAAAATTTTGGAAATTCAGAGAAAAGCATAGAAAAGTGTTCAGAAAATAAAGCAGGAAGGCTCCAAAAGGAAATTTATTTCTACAGTCCTGCTTATGTCCTGATGGTAGATCACTAGATCACTGTCCATTCAAAGTCATCTCCTACAAGAATGGTTGCACAATTTGAAGAGTATAATCAGTGTCACTAAATTATACATGTAGAAATTATCAAACTGGTATCTGTTCTGTTTGTATATTCTCAACAACAATAAAAATGGCCATCTTCTATGTCACTACTGACCCATATGCAGAGGATGCGAACTTTACTTAAAACACTATACACCCCAAGCTCCCAGAGTAAATAATGGACTTCACAATTCAGGTTTTTCATTTCAGCCTCTCCTATCAATCCTAATATTTCTGTACTCAATCATGATTCCACTCCTCATAAGAATCCATAGAAGAAATGAAAAGAGAAAAGAAAATATGTTCATGTAGCTTCAATTAAGCCAAACCTTCTCTGAAAAGTATTTAAGGCTTTCTTTTATATAAAACAGCTTTTAGATAGAACCTACTCAGCACAAATGCTGAAGGTAAGTTCCATTATCTATCTACATGATGCCTACTGAGTTAGCAGAACTTAAATTTGTTAAAGGAGCTCTGGTGGCACAGTGGTTAGGGCACTTGGCTTCGAACCAAAAGGTCAGCAGTTAGAACCCATTTGAACCCATCAGCTGCTCCAGGAGAGAAAGGTGAGGCAGTCCTCCACTTCCATAAAGATTTATAGCCTTGGAAACCCTAAGGGGCAGTTTTACTCTGTCCTATAGGGTGGCTGTGAATTGGAATTGACTAGATAATAGAGGTTTTAAACTTGTTAAATGATTGGAAAACACAACACTGTTTAGCACTAGAAAAGAGTTCTTACCTGACAAGTGTGGCTGGAACGACAGGATTTTTGTTACTACATCCTTTAAGGCTACCAGAGAGAGTGACAAAATTCAGTGTGTTTACAAATAATACCTGAGTTGCCTAGAAAGCAAAAAGACCATAAAACCTTTAAAATGACTATACTTTACTCATTACACCAGCTCCTACTTAACAACTATCTTGTTATCTGACATTTCCTATTTATGGTAACTTTCAAAAAATTCTCAGGTGGCACCCCTGATGGTCCAGGCCCCACGCGGGGCTATGGCCAGGCCCAGGCCCAGGGTGCACACTGTGGGACACCCTGAACAAAATATTGGAGGCAAAGATCAAACAACACAAGGGATGGTGGTTGATTGGCTGCAGGATGCCTTCTCCTGGTTTGCCCATTACAGTGAGATGATACAAGGTCAGAAGCAGGCAGAGGAAGGCTGGGTAAAGGCCTAAAGGTGCTGGGGAGGTCAGTGGAGGAAGGCAGGAAGGGAGGGAGAGGAAAGAGGGCAGATGGAGTTGGGGCAGATGGAGGACAAGCAGGAGGTGTCCATGCAAGGTGGGCTGAGGCAAGGAGAGGATGAGCAGGGTCCCCACCGAAGGCAGGCAGTGAGAGGCAGTGAGTGGCAGGCAACACCCAACATTCACCAACCCTCACTTCAATTCCTATTGATTCCATGGGGGTGGGGAAGGCGTGGTGGGGAAGGCGTTGTGGGGAAGGGGGGCCCAGCTACACAACATGCATTCTGATCATATAAATTTCAGTTAACGACATGGTCTTTGGAACCTAAGCATGTTGGTAAGTGAGGACTGGGTATACTTACAATTCTGCAGACCTAGAGATATCATGTTATATCAATAAACTATCCAGGGAGTCTTTTCCGACTATGCTTCTCTTTAAGAAATCAGTTACCACTTTGTTGTTCTTTCCCCCTTTCCCTTTATCATCTTTCACTTCTAAAGGTTATTAAAAATATGGAAACTAATTTAAGTAACTTTAAAAACCCACAACGTTAAGTTGGATTAGAAAACATCAATAAAATAGTATTGAGGAAGGAAAAAAATACTATATTCAGTAAAAGGAAAAGAAATCTCAAAATTATTTTTTTTTTTATAAATTAAACTATAAAAACTATTTCTCATAAATTATTAAGAAATGTTACATTTACTGACCTTTGGATCCTTCTGATTAAGAGTTACTGCCAGGGAAAGGCCATCTCTTGAAAAGGCAGAAATTAGAGCTCCTTTTGACTTTACTGGTTCACATTTAGGAATTAGATTACAAAGAAAATAGTCTTCTTGTGCCCAATGAACATGATATTGCAAAGATCTAAGAAAATAATGAAATACATTCATAAAGAAATTAGAGTAAGTCTTCATATTATAGCTCATTACAAAAAAAAATTTTAAAGGTTCACCTAAATTCCAATATGTGCACATATACTGAGAGGGCCTCTGGTGACCATTCAGAGTTTAATTCAGAGCACTAAAGAGGAGTTACCAGTTAGTTAGTTAAACAACCTCAATGTGAGACTTTTAGTAGTAATATCTTCTTCCCTAGCTAACCCCAAATACACTTGCAGATGCACAAATTTCTACACAACAGGAACTATTTTTTACAGAGATTAAAAAGGTGCAGGAGTGGGAACTTTCTGGGGTGGTGGCGACATTCTACAAATATTTAAATTTAATGGTAGTTATACAGATATAGACCAAAGGCCACACAAGTCATGGGATAGCATCAAGGACATCATACATAAAGAAAGCAAAAGGTCAGTAAAGACAGGAAGGGAAGAGAAGATCAAAATGGATGTCAGAAAAGACTCTGAAATTTGCTCTTCAACAGAGAGTAGCTGAAGGGAATAGAAGAAATGATGAATTAAAAGAGCTGAACAGATTTCAAAGGGCAACTCAAGAGGGCAAAGTAAAGTGTAATTATGAAATGTGGAAAGAACTGAAGTTGGAAAATCAAAGAAGAATACACTCAGGATTTCTCAAGCTGAAAGAACTGAAGAAAAAATAAAAGCCTCAAGTTGCAGTACTGAAGGATTCTAAGGACAAATATTGAGCAATGCAGGAAGGATCAAAAGAAAATGGAAGGAATACAGAGAGAAAATGTACAAAAAATAATTGGTCGATGTTCACCCATTTCGGGAGGTAGCATAAAAATTAACTGGTCGATGTTCACCCATTTCAGGAGGTAGCATATGATCAAGAACCAATGGTACTGAAGGAAAAAGTCCAAGCTATAATGAAGGAACTGGTAAAAAGAAAACAAGGTTCAAGGAATTGACAGAATGAATATCCATTGAAATGTTTCAACAAACAAATGCAGCCCTGGAAGTGTTCATTCATTTATGCCAAGAAATGTGGAAGACAGCTACCTGGTCAAGCACTGGAAAAGATCCATATTTGTGCTCATTACAAAGAAAAGTGATCCAACAGAATGAGGAAATTATTAAGCAGTATTATTAATATGACATATGAGTAAAATTTTGCTGAAGATAATTCAAAAATGGTTGCAGTAATGTATCAACAGGGAATAGCTAGAAATTCTACTCGGATTAAGAAGAGGACATGGAGTGAGGGGTATCATTGCTAATGTCACATAGATCTTGGTTGAAAGCATAGAATACCAGAATGATGTTTACCTATGTTTTATTGACTATGCAAAGGCATTCAGCTATGTGGGACATAACAAAATATGGGTAGCACTGCAAAGAAGAGGAATTCCAGACCACTTAACTGTGCTCATGAGGAACCTGGACATAGATCAAGAGGCAGTCATCTGAACACAACAAGACAATACTGCATGGTTTAAAATCAGGGGAAGTATGCATCAGGGCTGTATCCTTTCCCCACACTTATTCAATCTATATGCTGAGCTAATAATCTAAGAAGTTGAACCATATGAAGAAGAATGTGCCATCAGGATTGAAGGAAAACTCATTAACAACCTATGATACGCAGATGACATAATCCTGCCTGCTGAAAGTGAAGACCTGAAGCACTTACTGATGAAGATCAAAGACTACAGCCTTCAGTATTGTGGTGTAATAAATTACCTGGTATGGCTTTTCTAGCCATAAGTCTTTGTAAACTCTGTGGTGGAATTTGCTGTGAGCAACTGAGGAGCTTAGAATTCTGATGTTATAATTGGTTAGTTTGGCCACTCTGCCAGGCTCAAAAGGAGGCCTCCTAGAAGCAGAAGGAGTCTCTCTGACTGCTGGCTGAGAAAGACGTGCTGCTGAGAGAAATATGCTCCTGAGAGACAGGCGCTGCTGAGAAAGAGACACTGAGAGGCACACATTGCTGGGAGAAAGATACCGAGAGACATGTGCTGCTGGGAGAGAGACTATTGGCTGAGAGACGGAGGGCTGACAGAGACTGAGTGTTGTTCCTGAACTTGAACTGCAGCCTGGTGCTTCCCTAATAAAACCCATAATCTGAGAGTTCTGTGTGGCCACTGCAGCAAAATACCAAACCCAGCAGAAAAGAGGTGGGTGCTGCAGGAGAACAGTTGGTGTTGGGATTGGTGAAAGGGTCGGAGGGAGGCAGCATGTCTGGCCTCACAGGGATAGGCCTTGGACTACTGATGGTGATTCTATCTTCCTCTTGTGGGGTTAGAGGAGGTTGGAAGATGCAACCAACTTGCCCCTTTGGCAAGTATGGATTACACTCAACATGAAGAAAACAAAAATCCTCATAACCAGATCAATAAGTAACATTGTGACAAATGGAGAAAAGATTGAAGTTATCAAGGATTTCACAATCAATGCTCATGGAAACAGCAGTCAAAAAATCAAACAATGTACTGCATTGGGTAAATATACTGCAAAAGACCTCTTTAAAGTATTAAAGAGCATATATGTCACTTTGAAGACTAAGGTGCACCTGACCCAAGTCATGGTATTTTTAATAGCCTCAGATGCATGTGAGAGTTGGACAAAGAAAAGGAAGACTACAGAAGAATTGAGGTATTCAAATTACGGTGTTGGTGAAGAATACAGAGTGTATCATGGACTGCTAGTAGAATGAACCAATCTGTTTTGGAGGAAGTACAGCCGGAATGTTCCTTAGAATGAGAATAGCCTGACTTTGTCTCTCACAATTTGGCCATGTTGCCAGAAGGGACCAATCCCTGGAGAAGGATATCAGCATAGGCAAAGTGAAAGGTTAGTCATTAACACACATGATGATATAACCCAGAAACCAACCCAGGTACAGAAGTATCCAAAGAAATAAGCCTACAAGATTGTAAACAGAGAACCAGAGACATCATTTGACAAATGAGAACAACTACAAACCAAAAAGAGGGAAAAAATTGTGTATTTACAGAACTTGTAAATGGTAGGGAAGTCAAGACAACTACAAAATAGAATGGACTGTTCTAAACTTGGGAAGAAAACTATAAATCACAGGGTAACCGCAAAGAAAAATGATAGACCTTCACATCAAAAAAGAGGACCAACATAAATATTCAGCAGAATACTAAAACAGCAACAAAGGAAGTGATAACACGATTCGTAAACCAAACGAGCTCAGCACAGAAAATTCTGTGAAACAAAGAAGTCGACACCATGAAAAAGCACATAACAAAAATGACAGCAACAAATTCGTATTTGCCAAAAATTACATATCTGGGAAGGGACTTATCTCTAAGATTCATACTGGAAGAGTGGATGACCAAACTATAGTACATACACATAATGAAATGCTATGCAGCACTAAAGAATAATGTAGAGTCTGCAAAACACCACATAATATGGATGAACTTGGAGGATATTATGCTGAGTGAAATAAGTCAATCACAGAAGGACAAATACAGTATTAGTTCGTTGTTGTGGAGGGTCAAGGTTTATATATTCAGAGAAACTTTCTTTGTTGGTTGCCAGGGGTGGGAGGGCAGGGGAGGGAACAATGCAAAAAAAAAAAAAATGCATTGACTCATGTCACTTTAGTTTTATGTATTTCACTGTACATAAATTATATTTCAATAAAATGCCTTAAAAAAAAAAAATAGAGGGTTAGTCAAAAAAGGGAAGCCCCTCAATGAGATGGACTGACACAGTGGCTGCAATGATGGGCTCAAGCATTACAACGATTGTGAAGATAGCACAGGACCAGACAGTGTTTCATTGTATTATTCACAGGGTCATTATGAGTCGAAATCAACTTGATGGCACCTAATAACAATAATACAAGGATAGATATGTATGTGTATCAAAACCCATCTGATATATAGTTACAATTTGTTCATTTTTTTTAATGTAAAGTATACCTCAATAAAGTACTGTTAACATAAAAAAATTAATAAGAAAAAAAAAAGTGACCATTATCCTAAATTTTTCTAAGGCACTGTATGCTTTTCATGCATTTTTCCTATATTATTGGGCTTTTTAAAATAAATGAAACGATTTTTAATTAAAAAAAAAAAAAACTTGAATATATAAAAGGTACATTAATCGTTGTACTTCATCCCAGACAGATTTGTTTGTTCTCTGAACAGTCTATGGTATATTTAATATTCTTCACTAACACCATAATTCAAAACCATCAATTCTTATTTGGTCTTCCTTATTCTTTGTCCAGCTTTCACATGCATATGAGGTGGTCAAAAATACCATGTGTCAGAAGCACCTTAGTCTTCAAAGTGACATCATATTTTTTAACACTTTATAAAGGTCATTTGCAGCAGATTTTCCCAATGCAATATATTGTTTGATTTTCTGACTGAAATTTCATTGATTTCCACTATCAGTGCCCATGGAAGCAGCAGTCAAGAACAACCTACTGTGTTGGTAAAATCTGCTGCAAAAGAACTCTTTAAAGTGTTAAAAAGCAAAGATGTCACTTTGGGAAATATGGTGAACCTGACACAAGTCATGGAATTTTTCAACTGCCTCTTATGCATGTGAAAGCTGGAAAATGAATAAGAAAGACTGAAGAAGAATTGATGCCGCTGACTTATGGTGTTGGTGAAGAATACAGAATAAACTATGAACAGCCAGAAAAACAAACAAATCTGTCTTGAAAGAAGTACAGCTAGCATGCTCCTTAGAAACAAGAATGGTAAAACTTTGTTTCATGTATTTTGAACATGTTATCAAGAAGGAGTAGTCCTGGAGAAGGATATCATGCTTGGCCAAGTAGAAGGTTAGCAAAAAAGAGGACGACCCTCAATGAGATGGACTGACAGGGTGGCTACAACAATCGACTCAAAATAGCAATGACTGTGAGGATGGTGTAAGATTGGACAGTGTTTTCTTCCCTTGTACATAGGATTGCTGAGTTAGAACCGACTTGACAGCACCTAGCAACAGTAGTTTCCATGGCCACTCACTGTGGATCCAAGTAAAATGAAATCCTTGACAGCTTTAATATTTTCTTCATTTATCATGATATTGCTTATTGGTCCGGTTGTGAGGATTTCTGTCTTCTTTATGTTGAGGTACAAGCCGTACTTAAGACTGAAGTCTTTGATCTTCATCAAGTTCTCTTCAGCAAGTAAGCAAGACTGTGCCATCTGCATATGGCAGATTGTTAATGAGTCTTCTTCCAACCCAATGCTATATTCTTCTTCATGCAGTCTAGCTTTTCAGATTATTTGTTCAGAATACAGTTTGAATAAGTTTGGTGAAAGGATACAACCCTGACACGTACCCTTCCCAATTGTAAAATATGCAGTATTTTTCTTCTGTTTAAATAAGTGCCTCCTAGACTGTGTACAAGTTTCACATAAGCACAATTAAGTGTTCTAGAATTCTCATTCTTCAAAATGTTATCCATAATTTGTTATGATTCAAACAGCCAAATACCTTGGCATAGCCAATAAAACGCAGGTAAACATCACTCTGGTACTCTCTGCTTCCAGCCAAGATCCATCTGGCATCAGCAATGATATTCCTCATTCTACATCCACTACTGCCTCTGGTTTGAATGTCTGGCAGCTTCCTGTGAATATACTTCTGCAACCATTTTTGAATTATCTTCAACCAAATTATACTGGCATGTGATATTAATGATATTATTTGATAATTTCCACATTTTATTAGATCACCTTTCTTTGGAATGGACACAAATATGTCTATCTTCCAGATGGTTGGCCAGGTAGCTGTCTTCCAAATTTCTTGGCATAGACAAACAAGTGCTGCATCTGTTTGTTGGAACAGTACTACATTTGTTTGTTGGAACATTTCAATTGGAATTCTGTCCATTCCTAAAGATTGATTTCTCACCAATGCCTTCAGTACAGCTTGAGCATCTTTCTTCAATACCATCAGTTCTTGCTCATGTGCTACCTCCTGAAATGCACTGCGATGCCACTGCTCATGTCAGTCCAATGGTGCCTTGCATGGGGCTGTGATGCTAGAAGCTATGTCACGGGTATTACTAATTCGTAACACATTAGCTTCCTTCATATGTTACATGTTGACACACAAGAAGAGAAACAAAACAAAAAGAAGAAAGATTTTCTAGATAAAATATTTCAAAATAAAAGCTTAAGAAACAGAGCAATATTTATGAGAAGAAAGAATCCGTAAAGCTTCAGAAGTTGAAATTCATATGAACAGTTACCAATCTTACTATGTGTATATAGGCCAAAATAGAATAGCGTTTTTAAAAGGAATAAAAGGTTAGAAAGAAGGGAACATTTACCTCACCTTATGGGTGTAAATACATTCTCATGCCACCGAATTGCCAGAAGCGTTAACTTAAGGCATTCCCCAGAATAAAAAGTAAAGGAACATAAGCAGCAATCTCCAAATAACTGTAGATAAATTTAAGATATATTAGTTTAAAATTAATCTGAAAATAAATCAAGATACATAAAACATAAATTCTCATCATGAATAAACTGAAAAACATTGTGACACTGCTTGTATTTTATCTTTAACACTATGCTACATATTACATATCTACTTTTGTGAGCCTGAGGCATGACCCAAATGGGAAATGAGGTTACAGTGTAGTCTCTTACAAAAACACTGCTATTCACTGTGGATATAACTGGAAAGATTCTTATATGTTTATTTTTCTCTTCCTTTATAGTTATTGAAACAATAGCATCACCCCTGGAGGGGAGTAGAGGAAGCAGAAAAACAATAAAACTTCAAAATGGAATTTTTAACTTTAGTGGATGGCTAATAAAATCTTGGTCCACTCACACAAAAAGTGCCAAACAGTTATTTTAATTTTTTTTTTTAAATGACTGAATGAGTTATTTTCTGCAATTAAATGGTTTACTTAATACCACCAATTCTAGCTTGTTAAATTACAAAGTTATTATTTTAAAAACAGGTAAAGAAAAAGGAAATTCTAAGTTCAAATCACTTTTAACAAACATTGTTTTTAAATGTAAGCAAGAAATATAAAAATATCTTTTCCATACAATAATATCACAGTTACTGTGACAATGATGACTACACAAAGCTGTCATTACACACTCTGCTAAGTAACTTCAAAAATGGTGTCTATTTAGAGTCTGAGATCACAGCTGCTCTAACCCCTCTGGTTTGCATTTTACCTCATTTTTTTTCTTTTTTCTCTTTTTTTTTTCCCTGTGTCCTTCCCTCCCATGCACTCCTGCCCTGAGCTATCTCCCTGTGCATAGACTGCCCTTCTATTCTCCCATGATTAATCTCTCCAAGGAGTGTATCTACCTAATATAAATGTTCAGCTCATACGCCTGTCTTGCGTTTGGCTGGAAGCCACAAGAGTGGGTTCAATTCCAGACCTGAATGGCACCTAGAGGCCATAGTCTCAGGGGTTTCACAAGGTTCTATCAGACCAGCAAACCCTGGTCCCTTTTTTTTTTTTTAAAAATGATTTTGAGTTTTTTGCCACGTAGTTCTCCCTCTCTATCCAGGATCTCCTATGTAGATCCCCCACCGGGTGGCTGACTGTGGTAGCTGGACACCATCTAGTTCTTCTGGTCTCACAGTCGTATAGGCTGAGGATCGCATGTACCAGTCACTTGGACTAATTGTTTCCATGCATCTTTGGGTTTTTTACCTCATTTTTTATAAAAACAGCATGCACTACAGCTTCTTTGTCTTCAATGGAAGGCAAAAGAACTGTTTCTTCACGTCTGATCTGGGACCATTGGCCCACCAATGTAGGACTTTTAGAAGATACAATACTCTTAGAATCCAAATACTCCCAAAGAAATATGCATCCAGAAGGCGTTGTAAGCAGAACTCTTTTCCCATTTCCAGATACATAGAAATATAATCTCAAAGAGCTCGCTTGAAAAAAAGAAAAAGTTATTAAATTTTAACATCTGAATTCCTCCCAGAGAGTACATAATTTAATCTATTCCAGGCAGTAAGAAATCCAAATGATGTTACTGCTCAGGATGTTAAAGCTCAAGCTGTCTTCAGTTGCCATCAAGTAGACTCAGCCTCACAGGGTACCCACGTATGCAGGGTAGAACTGCTCTGCAGAGCTTTCAAGACTTGTGACCTTTTAGAAGCAGATTCCCAGGCTTGTCTTCCAAGGTACCTCTGGTGGGTTCAAACCTCCAACCTTTCAGCTAGTAGTCGAAAGCTTAACTGTTTGTACCACCCACAGACTCCATAAAACTAAGGTGCAGGTAATAAATTAAAAGTACAACTAATAGTAACTTTTATGACGTACTTAATAGGTGATATTAAGAACATATTATTAAACAGGTATGTTAGGCATGCCAGACTTTGGCAAAATGAATCTGGGTATCACAGACAAACATTACCAAATAATATTATACATATTTATACATATACAAAATATATACATATATAAAGAACACATATACATGTATGTATATATTTTTCAATATATACAATATACCTATTGTGATAGGTATATTGTATATATTAATACTATAATAGTATACTAGAAATATATTTTTAGATAGTAACAGGAAAATGTTTCATCTTCTTTTCCTCCCATTTATCACAAAAAACTAATTTAAACAAATAAAATATTCCCACCTACTGCAGCTTTAATTATTTCCTTCAGCTCTTTAGCTGCTTGCATAGTTTTCAAACAATCTTGATCTTTGTTCCAAAGAAAAAGTTCTCCTGTAGTGAGTACCCCAGCCAGCCAGGCATCTGTTTCCCAAAAAAGAAATGTAATATTCAATGTAATACTTCCCTTAATCTATAACCTAAATTATTAAAAAATGTAGTTATCTAGACTTTTTAAAATATCAGCATTACTTAACCATTACTGGATGTTGTTAGGACAATAACATCCTTCAACAAAGGCTGCAGAATAGGAATTTTCTTCTTTGTCCTTCCTGATAGTAAATTGATTTCATTTATGAATTTATCATCCAAAAGAAAAACAGATTCATTTTCCTAAGAGAAGAAGTATATGAAGGACTTAAGAAGTGCCAGAAACCAAGTCAATTTACTCTCTCATCTAAAGAAATTATCCTAGAAAGTAAACAAAGTTACACCATTTAAAATTAAACATTTGTACCATAAAATGAACATTAGGACTGATACCCTAAAAGAACCTGAAGATTTTTCAATCTATTTAAAATATCTCTTATTGAAATTACTAGGCAAAAGGACATAACAGTTACATTTAAATATCTTTGAAGTTCAAAGTTATAGTTGTGGTGTTGTTATATGCCGTCGAGTCAGACACCACTCATAGCGACCCCTCCATGGGAGCATCACTATGGAAGTAGGTTGCCCAACCTTCCTTTCAAGGAGTGGCTGGTGGGTTTGAACCACCGGCCTTTTGGTTAGCAGTCAAGTGCCTCAGACACTATGATACCAGAGCTCCCAAAGTTATAGTAATATATTGGAATTCTGCTAGCCAAAAACTTGGCTGTCTGCTACTTAACCTTTCATTTTTAATAGTTGTATGGGCAACTTTTAGGAGTTCTGGTGGTGTAGTGCCTAAGGCATTTGACTGCTAACCAGAAGGCTGGTGGCTTAAACCCACCAGTTACTCCTCGGAAAGAAGACTGTACAATCTACTTCCATAGAGATACTGCCTAGGAAACCCAAGGAGGGGTCGCTATGAGTGGGATCCTAATCGATGGCAGTGAGTTATGGGAAAGTTTTAAATTATACAGTTATATTAAAACAAATATGGCTTCTGAGATTTATAAGGCTGACTCTGATTATTTTTCATTATCTAGCAAAATATGGTGCTTTTTAATTAACCTGGTTTTCATATATTCTAGGGCAGTGATTTTTAAAGTACAGTCACTGAACCAACAGCATCAGCAACACCAGAGCATATTTTAGAAATTCAAATTCTTCAATCCCACCTCAGATCAAGTGAATCAGAAACTTTGGGAGTACAGCCTAGCAATCTGTGTTTTATTAACAAGTTCTCCAAAGGATTCTCATGTATCTTAAAGTTTAAGAACCACCCTAGGCCTGGTGGAACCACTGAGACTATGGTCCCTAGCTAGCCTTCAGGTCTAGAATTGAACCCACACCTGTGGTTTCCAGCCAAACAAAAGACAAGGCATATGAGTTGAACATGTACCTGAGGTACAAATACTCCTTGGAGAGAACAATCATGGGGGAAAGAAGAGCTGTTTATGTACAGGGAGACAATTCAGGGGACAGGAGTGCATTGAGGGATGGACACAGGGAAGAGGTAACTATTGGGAGGCAGTGGGAGGGGAGCTGTTGCACTGGGGTAAATTGTAGTCAATGTCATTAGACAATGTGTGTGTGAACTGCTGTATAGAAAGTGAATTTGCTCTGTAAACTTTTACCCAAATCACACACACACAAAAAAGAACCACCCTAAGAGTATGGGTTTTTTAGGGGTTCTAGGAGAAGTGAGGGAGCTCTGGTGGCACAGTGCCTAAGGCATTTGACTGCTAACCAGAAGGCTGGTGGTTCACACCCACCAGCCACTCCTCGAAAGGAAGATTGGGCAATCTACTTCCATAGTGATACCACCTCAGAAACCCAGGGAAGGATCGCTATGAGTTGGGACCAACTGGATGGCAGTGAAGTGAGGTTAAGAGAAGTGAACAAACAGTGTAATTTCTCATAGGAAATTTGACACTATTTCTTTTATAATTTTAATAATCTTATTAATTCTAAAAGGATCTTAGTGACTTTCCCTGAAGTGAATCTTTCCCATTAATTTCAATGGTATTCCTAGATTGTTAATGTATTATGTCCCCTTGCTTCCATTCTAAGTGATACCTTATGGCTCACACATAGAAATCACAATGGGAGTAAACACTCAATTGACTGTTCTGGAAAAGGAGAGATAAGGTGAGCAAATATTCCCTTTCAACATATACCATCTCAGCCTACTTAAAAATGTGAAAACAAAGTTTTTGAAAGTTAAACTCTCTTTTAAACAGACCACTGAACTTTCTGGAAAAACATATTCACTATAATAAAAACAAAACACACACACACACACACACACCCCCAAAAAAAAGCCCTGTTCAGTAAGCAGATGATGATTCTAAAGATACTTTCTTTCTTTAAGGCCATATTACATTCTTAAATCTTAGAGGCAAAACACACATTCAACACATATGAAAACTGGTATTACATGAATAAAGAAAATCCTACCTGTCCCAACCAAGTGATTCGTGGCCAGGGTTTTTTCTGCTTGATACTTGTTGATGTCAAAACTTCTAATCTTATCTCCATGCTTGTCAAGACTATGGACAATCAATTCAGTAAATAGCATTCACAAGATACTGTAAATAATAATAATTAATAGCCCATAATATTTACTGATTATAACTTAGAATTTTTGTAAACTTTTAGTATATTACGTTTTCATCAACTTGTTAACTTTGTTTTTAAGGTACGAGAATAACAATGCATGCGATACTTCATATTATACATTGAATAGTCAGGCAAAATGTACTTGCTTTCTTGACAAGTTATTTCTTAAAATACCAGGATAAGTATGAACTAGGTTAGGATTCTGACAATAAAGTTTCTATATGGCTTTCTTTTCTCAGATTGTATTTTCCAAAGATGGCCACAGCAGTGTTTTTACCAAAAAGGGACACAACAATGTCTCCTATCCTGTATGTTCTTCCTACAGGTGTGGTCTATGCTAAAATTCTATGCCAAGAAGAACTGTGACTTGTAATTTTGCCAAGACTTGTGACTAAAGAGAATTAAAAAAACATTTTAAACATACCAAGATAACAGAATCAACCAAACCTGGAGTGTGAGATATTCTACAGGATACAAAATGCAAGTTTTGTCAATAAATAAAAGTCATTTTAAAAAATGAATGCAGGGAATTGTTAAATTGGTAAGAAATATAACAACCAAATGCAATATTCAGAGACTTTTGGACTTTGATTCAAATAAACCAGTTGTGAAAAAATATTCAGCATATACGAATCAGCAATTTCAATTCCAAGTCTATACCCAGGAAAATGAAAGCAAGAATACAAACAGAAACTTGCATACCAATGTTTGGTGCAGCATATTTCACAAATGCTAGAATACAAAAAGGAGCTCTGGTAGCATAGTGCCTAAGGCACTTGACTGCTAACCAGAAGGTTGGCAGTTCAAACTCACCAGCCACTCCTCAGAAGGAAGGTTGGGCAATCTACTTCCGTAGTGATACTGCCTTGGCAACCAAGGAGGGGTCAGCTATGAGTCAGGGCCAACTCGATGGCACATAACAGTAACAGTATACAAAAACAACGGAAATGTCCATTAACAGATGAATGGATAAACAAAATGTGGTATATACATACAATGGAATACTACTTAACCATAAAAATAAATGATATCCTGATGAATACCACAACACAGATGAACTTTTAAAACATTATGCTGAGTGTAACACACTACACAAAAACATTGTTCTACATCCTACTTTGGTGAGTAGTGACTGGGGTCTTAAAAGCTTGCAAGATGCCAGCTAGATGCAACAATGGTTCTCTCTTCATCCAGAGCAAAGAAGAATGAAGAAAACTAAAGATGCATGGAAACAATTACTCCAAGGGACTGGCAGACCATGTGATCCTCAGCCTATAAGACCTTGAGACCAAAAGAACAAGATGGTACCAGGCCACCACTGTCAATCACTCAGAGGGGGATCGGTGTAGGAGATCCTAGATAGTTAGAAAACAATGTGGAACAAAACTCAAAATCATTAAAAAAAATAAGAAAAGAAAGAAAGAAAGAGACCAAGTTTTCTGGTCTGATGGAGCCTGGTAGAACCCTTAAGACTATGGCCCCTAGTTACCCTCTAGGTCTGGAACTGAACTCACTTCCGTGCCTTCCAGTCAAACAACAGACAGGCATATGGGCCAAACATTTACATCAGGTAGATACACTCCTTGGAGTGATCAATCATGGCAGAACAGGGAGACAGCTCCGGGACGGGCGTACATGGTAGAGAAGGACACAGAGAAGAGGTAGTAACTAAGGGGAGGAAGTGGGAAGAGAGCTCTGTTTTCCCCTTCCATTGTAGGGAATCACAGTCACTGTCATGATACAAAATGTGTATGAACTGCTATACAAAAAATGAATTTGCTTTGTAAACTTTCATCCAAATCACAATAAAAATTTAAAAAAACAAAACAAAACAAAGTATTATGCTGAGTGAAATATCCACTGCCACTGAGTCAATTCCAACTCATAAAGATCCTATAGGACAAAGCAGAACTGCCTCCCAGGGATTCCAAGGCTATAAATCTTTACAAAAGCAGATTGCCTCCCAATGCTCTAACCACAGCCCAACCAGACAGAGCTCCTGAGTGAAATAAGTAACAAAAGGACAAATATCATATGATCTATATGATCTCACTTTTATGAAATAAGTAAATATACAGAAACCAAAGGAACTCTAGTGGTGTAAGGCATTTAGCTGCTAACCAGAAGGTCAGCGGTTCAAACCCATCAGCTACTCCACGGGGGAAAGATGAGGCAATCTACTTCCATAAAGATTTACAGCCTTGGAAACTCAATTAGGGTCACTATGAGTCGGAATCAACTCCATGGCAGTGGGTTTGGTTTTAGTTTTAAAGAAACCAAAGACTGTAAGTGGCTACCTGGGGCAGGAAAGGGAGAGTTTGTGCTTAGAAGGCACTGAGTTTTATGTTAATGGTCGCAGAATAACTTGGAAAAGGATAGTGATATAGGCTGTATAATATGAAGAATATAATCAATGTCATTGAAACATATATGCAGAAATTGTTGAATTGGCAAATGTTTTGTTGTGTATATTTTCACAACAATTACAAATAAAAGATAGTCATCAGCTGCCAAAAAGAATGAGGAAGATCTCTATGAACTGTGATTTCTAGGATATATTATTAAGTGGAAAAAGTGAAATGCAAAAGGGTATATAGATTGTATGCTACCTTTTGTGTAAATAATAGAAATACAGGAAAATGAAAAGTTAACACAATAAAGTAACTACTAGAGGTGTTGTTGTTATGTGCCATCGAGTCAGACCCGACTCATAGCGACCTCTCCTTGGGTTTCCGAGGCAGTATCACTACGGAAGTAGATTGCCCCATCTTTCTTCCGAGGAGTGACTGGTGGGTTTGAACCACCAGCCTTCTGGTTAGCAGTCGAATGCTTTAGGCACTATGCTACCAGAGCCCCTAACTACTAGAGGTAGGGCAAACAAAATGGAAAGGCTAAGGAAGGAGTGGTACTTCTGAGTATACTTTTTTGTGTAGTTTTACTTTCGGAAGCATGTTAATAAAATCAACAAAAAATGGGCAAGGGGGGCAAACCTAAAATCAGTACAAAGCGGAGCAAAGAAACTCAACCGTATTTCAAGTGAATGAAATACCCATTGAAGATTAAAATGAAGGGAAAAAGAGTAATCCAAGTAACTTTTAAACAGTAATTTTAACTATATATTATCAGTCTGAAGATAAATAGAACTATAAACAAATCTCAAACTCTTCTTAGTAATTTTGTTTTCTGTAGGAATATGGGTATAGAATTCTAAAGTTATTTTGTATTTATTGTAGGATTGTGCAAATAAATATATATACTGATGTTGATGGAAGTCAGTGATTTCAGTGTGGAAGAAAAGGAATACAATTATAAAATAGGGAAAAGGAAGAACCACAGGGGGTTGGATCAGAATTAGAAGCATCAGTACAAAACTCATGATTTCTAGGTGTGGCCACTACAAGGGCCTAAAAGCAGTAGCAATGAATATCCTGGCACTCAGATCTTGGTTTCTAAATACCATTCCTCTCTAAGAGGAATCAAGATTCCTTGGAAAACCAACTGATTTCAGGACAGGGATAGGAAAGGAACCAGATGGACCTGGAACATTTTGTTCCAAAGGAAATAAATAATGGGGAACATAGTCTCTAAGTATCCCCCACAAATTATTTAGTATTTAAAAAAACAACAACTATACATTAGAGAAAAGGGATAAGAACTTAAACAATATTGAGCAGAAATCACACTTTTCTTGATATGATAGCCTGAAAAAGAGAAAACATTACTTACATACTACTCCAGCCACGAAATGCAAACCTTCAGTCTATTCAGGAGAAAACAAATCCAAATTGAGGAAACTTCTACAACATAATGGGCCACTGCTCCTTAAAACTGTCAATGTTATAGAAACAAAGGTTCAGGAGTTGTTCCAGATTAAAGATTAATGAAAAAAGATAACTAAAGGCAATATAATATCCTGATATATGTATCCTGTACTAGAAAATTTGCCATAAAGAGTATTACTGGGATAATTGATAAAATTGGAATATGGACAATATATAGATAATGTATCAATGCCAATTTCCTGAATTTGGTAACTACTGTAGGAAATGTTGTACATGATGCACAATCTATTCTTAAATAATTCAGAATAAATGTATGTGTGTGTGACTATGTGTGTATGTAGGTAAAGAGAAAGATAAAGCAAACTGGCCAAAACACAAACCATTGGTCAATATAGGTAAACTTTATAGTTGTTGTTGTTATGTGCCGTGGAGTCAAATCCGACTCATAGTGACACCTCCTTGGGTTTCCGAGGCAGTATCACTACGGAAGTAGGATTGCCCAACCTTCCTCCTGAGGAGTGGCTGGTGGGTTTGAACCACCAGCCGTCTGGTTAGCAGGCAAGTGTCTTAGCCACTATGCTACCAGAGTATTATTCTTGCAACTTCTCAGCAAACTTGAAATCACTGCAAAACTTAAAAAAGACAATCAGGGAAAACTGAACATGACTGGGTATTAGAAGATATTAATAAATTAATGTTAACTTTTGTGTTACGCAGTAATTCTATTATGTTTGTATTTTAAGGGGGAAAAAAATGAGTCCTTATCTATCTAAGACATGAATATACCCAAGAATTTACAGATGAAATAATAGGATGCCAGGGATTCGTTTCTAAATACTCCAGATGAGAAAGTTTTGTAGCTAAAATGTAAAGGCTGAAAAAACAGCTAACCTTCTTTAGATTTCAAGATTGAGTCCTACAAAATTTGCTGATGAATGGTCTTTATAATTTCTAGGTCTGGCTATTACAAGGGCTAAAAGCAGTAGCAAAAGAGGTGTTTGAAAAACACCTCCTCTGTTGTGTAGCAAAAGATTATTCTGCCACATACCGCTGGCTCTCAAAACACTAATGGTACTTATGGATAATAAACATCAGAAACCAAGTAAAATTACTTCATAGAAGAAAAGGAAATAATCT